GTGCTTACTGTCCCAATTTGAATTTGTTGAACTATAGATGCCAGGAAATGAACACTGGCTTTGCTGTTCTTTAATTCTGAGCATCAGGATGCCTTGGCAGATCTAGAAGTACCTGCTCCTCCTTTCTAATTGTGCCAGACATTTTCTCTGTTGACTTTCAGCCTTATAAATATGTTTGCTGTACTCTCGCTCATACCTGCTCTTTCTCTCTCTCTCTGTCTCTCTCTCTTACCAGTTCCTACAGCTTCTCCCTAAAATCTAAGTGCAGACTCAAGAGAAGGATGGGTGAGACAGTTATGTAACACTCCTAACCCACCCGCTACTGCCCATGCACCCGGATCCCACACCTCCCTTTGCATTCCACTCGCTTTCTGGCCCTCAGGGTCTGGATGATGACAGACTCGGCCTGCTCTACTTTCCCCAAGTCCCACGCGGGTTACAAGCCTGTGAGGGCGTCTTCCTCCTGCTGCTTTGCTTCTGAGCCACATTCCTGCCTTGATTTCAAATTCTCTTCACAATTTAGCTCCTTCCATCATCCTCCCCAGATCCTCGCTGTGTTCCTCCAGGCAGGGCCGGTCTCTGGGGACCGTGCAGGCTGATTTTTTATTTTCTGTGGCTCTCCTCTCTGAATTCTTGTTCTTTTAGAAATACACATGCTTTTAAAATCCAGTCATAGCATCGGTACTTTTGCAGAATTCTTATATCACTGTTTTGTCTCTTTCAGATTTGACAGACACACCCAGGCCACCACACTGACTTACCAGATATTTGGAGGATATCTAAGATCCAGAGGTCAGTTTTTGTTCACAAGTCCATAAAGTGGCACATGCATGTGGTATCAGAATGAAAATAGTAGAAATAAGGAGAACTAGAGACTCCCTCCCCCTCCCCAGAGGCAGCCTTGTACCAGTTCCTAGTATATCCTCCGGGCAGTCTCTTACTCATGAGCAAGCTGAGAGCCAACTATAGAATACATTTGTTTTTCCCTTAACCTTAGTAGTAACCTTTCTATTTGAGCACACAGAGGTCTAACAGGTTCTTTCATACCTGCAATAGTGTCTGTTTGTTTTTCTCTCCTACTGATGGATACCTAGCTTTCTATTCTGTTGTTACCACCAGGGCCTTATTGAACATCACCCATGTACTCACGCTTTTGTGCCTATGTACAAGTGTACACGATAAACTCTTGGTATTAGAATTTGAGTCATAAGATGTATTTTAAACTTTTATACTGACATGCTTTCAGTCTAAGAGATCATACCAGTAGTGTACAACGGGTGAAACTCATGAGACTTTTTCCTACACTGTGTATAAGATTAACTTTTTCCCCAACCTAGTAGAAAAAAAGTTAAACTGTTTTAATTTCTTTACTTTGAAGTAGTATTTGTATTCTGTAATTTCAATGCCTGAGACTGCCGTACTTATTACACTTAGCTTATCTTTTGCATTTTATTTTTATTTCAGTCCAATGTTTAAATTGCAAGGGTGTTTCAGACACTTTTGAGCCATGTCTTGATATTACATTGGAGATAAAGGTAAATGTAATAGTTTTTTTGGGGTTAAGTTTTAAATCTTTTTTACTCTTCGACTTTTTGCTTAATAAAACCAGGTTTTGTTTTTGTTTTTTTGTTTTTGTTTCATTTTGGTCTTTTTGAGATAGGGCTATGCAGTTCAGGCTGGCCTTCAGCTCATGTTGTAGCCCAGGTTGGCCTCGAACTCACAGCAATCCTCCTGCCTCAGTAACACCAGGTTTTGACATCTCTATTAGCAAATCTTAGATGGCTCTTATTCTTTAAAAGTTTTAGCATCTTGCATTTTCTGAACTACATTTTTGTTATTCTTGAGCTTTCGCTTCTCTGATAACAGATGTAACATGCTTATGATGAAAAGCACAAGCACTGCAGACATATTAAATCTGCCCTTCACCACTGTTGCTCTTGATCATCTGATATGCACTGCCTCAGAATAGAGTAGGTCCTTTTTTACAGAACTGAGACTATGAGCAGGGCACAGTGCTGCGTGTGTATAATGCCAGGACTCAGGGAGGCTCAGACAGGCAGCACAAGTTTCAACCCAAATTGGGCAACTTAGTGAGACTCTGTTTAAAATAAAAATAAGGGACGGGCTGGGACTACAGCTAAGTGTGAAAGCCCTGGGTTGGATCCCCAGTATTGCAAAAAAGAAAAAAAGAGAAAAATTTTA